ATCATGTCAGATCTTATTTTATTTTCTTAGTTTCACTGGGTGTCAAAGAGACCTTAAAGCAGTTCAACATTCCCATCAACTCATGCTTGGAATAGTTTGTACCCTTTCAAAATCTCTGTGTACTTCCAATCTAGTATGAATTTTGATGTCTTATTATTGTTTATCTACTCAAATTCGTCATGGCCCATGATTGTAAACTAACAAAGGGCCTGACAGATAAATTAAGTCACTCCCATGAGCAATGTATTGGACATTTTACTCTAATAGAGACTTATGTCATTAGAATTCTTTTTATTATTAACAAGAGAGCCCTCAATTCTCTAGAAGTAAATAATCTCAATGGATTAGTGCTTGGCTTTTCTTTGGAAGAACCACATTTCGTATAATATGCTTCACTATTTCTTGATTTGTCAGTTTCTGACTTTAGAAAGCCACAGGATAAGAGAGCAAATAACTCTCATCTATCAACTTCATCAAGGTCCTTATCTTAATCTCATCTTATTTGTTAAATTACAAATACTTATAGCAATGTGTCTTTGTTAATATTTTTCACTTTCCAGTCAAATAGTGAACTGTGTTTTAAACTTGTTCTTTTTCCTGAGATTTCAGAATTATTGTAATATATCTTTTTTTTTTACAAAAGCTCAACCAGTCTGTCAAAACAAGAAATTCCATCCTATCATTCCCAAATTGTATCAACTCTATTTACTTCCTTATAGATTTTCCTCCTGCTTCCTTTCCTCTGCACTCCCACTTCGATCTGGATTAATTCTGAAGATGGGCCCACATCTCTTTTTCTGAGACTTCCGTTTCCCACTTATTTTTATGTCTTTGATTTGATCAAATGCATTTGACAGAGGCCTCCAGAAAACAGTGCATGGAAAATCAAGTTTTTGGAGTTGCTGAACATTTGACAGTGCCTTTATTTTTTTCCTCCATTTTTCTTAATAGTTCTGTGTGCAGAATTGTAGGTAGGGCCCAGGACTGTCCTACAGAACATGCCTGATCTGGGGAAAACCAAAAATATGCAGTCTATTCTCAAAGTTATTAAGCATTTTGGGGTGGTGACCGTAAAGCACTGAACTAAGCGTGGGACCCTTGCAAGTGCAAAGCCTGGTATGACAAATTGCATGCCCAGGAAGGCAGCCCTGTTGGGCCCTTTCAAACTGGAGATGGTAATTCTAGGAAACTGATTTATCTTTGATAATTACTCCCATCCTTCTCCATTCCCTATGTGTAAGATTATGGTTAGCTGGCAATTAGAGCTGTATATACCTCACTTTCTTTTTGTCTCTTTCCTGGGATGGTAACTACCCTGTGTGAGAACAGAAGACTAATCCGATGCATTCACGCTTCGCCTTCCCTTCCAGTTCCTCTAATACTCCCCATTTGTGAAATCCAACCGGATCCCTCATATAGTCAGCAGGTCCATCTCACAGAGCCAGGAATTGGGGCAGAGAGCGGGGCGGGCCTGGAGGGACAGATGGCAAATGAAAGATACTCAGCACAGAGTGGCTGCCTGAGCTAAGGGTTAAGGGTGCATTTTCTGGTGTCCAAGGACATGACACAGATGTCAGTGGTTGAGTGCATCTGCCATGTGCTTGTCCTACTCCTACTCTGCCTTCCCTGGTTTAAGTAACTCACTAGCAGGTGAAACTCGCTAATTTTTATTCATTAAAACATATAGATTTAAACATATCAAACTTTATTTTGTAAAGTTGTATTTTATATTTTATTTAAAATGACTAACATTTTAAAGAAAATCTTTGAGTCCACAAAACCCATGGTATTCCAGAGGGGTAACAATGACCAAAATCAAAATGATTGGTTCCCTCTTAGAGTCAATATGGTCTTACTACTTTCTGGTTTTTGTTTCCAAGGAGAAAGAAATGGATCTTGAAAGCATTTATAACTTTTTAATGTTTGTAACTGTACTTAAAAGGGATTCTTCAACATTCTAAGAATTACACAGTGTCCATTTCTGTTTTTTTAAAGTTAATACCTCTTGAAGTAAAGCAATAGTTTACTACATTATGGATTTTGGAGACTAGGGGAAATAATTAAGTATTCTTTTTAGTTAAAATAAACTTTTCATTACATACAGCCAGTCCTTTGTATCTTTGGGTTTCATATCTATGGATTTAACCAACTGGGTTCAAAATATTCAGAAAAAAAAATCACATCTGTGTTGAACACGACTTTTTTCCTTGTCATTAGTCCCTCCCCAATACAATGTAACAACTATTTACATAGCATTTACATTGAATTAGGTATCATAGATAAGTTACAGATGATTGAAAGTGTAGGGAGGATGTACATAGATCATAAGCAAATACTACACCACCTTATGTAAGGGACTTGAGTATCTTTGGGTTTTGGTATCCACAGAGTTCCTGACACTGAGGGACCAGATACTAAGGGATCAATACTGAGGAACTGTATTTTCTGTTTCAACAGAATTACTTTGTACCTTTAAATGTAGACTATAAACATGTAAGTGCATTTTAAAAGCTAATAATATTTGCCATACTATATTGTATATATATTATATAGCATATTTTGATACAGTAATAACTGAAGTTCAAGCAAATGAATATATCCATCATTCTCAAAATTAAATTTATTTTTGTGGTGAAAATACCTAAACTTTATTCCCTTAGCAAATTTCTAGTATACCATACAATATTATTAACTGTAGTTCTCATGCTGTACATGAAATGTCAGTCTCTTTTCTTTCATTTTCTTCAATGATATAAATTGTCCTGGGAATTGTATGTCCCATAAAATAGAGATATAATGGCATTCTATATTATATTTGCCAATATGAGAGAAAAGTATCTGAAAAGGATCTAAATCTATAAGCCCTGTTTCTTACACTAAACTTAGGTTTCAATTTCTTGAGCACTGACCTTCAGAATAGAGAATTTCATTACTTTATGGACTCAGATTATCATTTGATATTGTTTTAGGCTCTGAGGCAAGCAGGACTTATTGCAAATAATACAGCAGCTTCTTGTTCTAACAGTTGGTATTTGTGTGATGTTCTCGCTTGCTTGTGCTCATATTTCCACACTAAAGTTAACATCTCCAGGTGTCCTTCCAGCGTGATCTCCTTTATTCTTAGGGTTTTTACCTACATCTCCAGTTTATCTACTTCTTTTTGAGATTTGGTGATTGGTATTTTTTAAGGACTTTATTTTTTCTGAGTTGTTAAATGCATCAGTATAATGTTGCTTTTTTATTTTAACAAAAAAAAATCTTAATATCTTTGTTTACCAGTCCTATCACACTGGCCATATTTGGATCAGTTTCAGTATGTTTTTAAAATTTTCATGATGGATCAATTTTCTTGCTTCTTTGCATACCTGGTAACTTTTTTTTAGTCAGTGGGAGAACAACTGAGGGAAAAAAGTTACATATAAAAATTAAAGCTATAGTAAAAGTCTGAGTAATTTCAGTGTGGTTAGCAAGGAACAAATGAAGCGTGGTTTAGTTTCTAAGTAAGGAGAGATCACAAAGGAGAGGACTTAGGATTTCTTCAAAGGACTTATGAGATAAGTAGACTTCCACATGTATCTAGTAAGTAAACCTAACTTAAGCAGTAAAAGACAGCAGGGATATGAGACAAAAGGGCTTAAGTAAGAGAAGTGACCTTGAATATATAGGTTTTAATGTGCATGTATCTTTATATATGTATTCAAATACATTCTTATTCATATTTGACTATGGATTTTTATATGTTCTTATACATGAATTCATATACACATACATGTATGTGCATTCACATACACACACACATATATATATATATATGTTGTCTGCTGTATTTTATCATATGAAAGTAAATGGTACAAATAACTATTTACAACTTCCTAAGTAAGAAATTTTAATCTGGATGTGGGTTTTTTTCATAGAAAAATAAGATTTTTTTAATGGGTGGAGGAATGTTAAATATCTTTGCTGAAACTCTTAACTTGTCATTATACTTTAAGCTTTGGCACTAGAAATTATCCAAAGTGAATGGTCACCTCTGTTAATTTACCTATTAGTGCCTAAAAGTAGACATACCATAGTCTTTTTATTTTAGAATAGGAATGGAATTAAATTCTGTCTGATAATTTAAGAAAATAGATAATTGTCTTCACATTAGTTTATATACAGTAATATATAGACAGTAAGCAATATATAAGTAATAAATTCCTTTTGTGCTTAGTATAAGACGGTATCTTTGGAAATATTTGGCTTACAATTTAACGGACAGAAGTTTCGAAGTGTTACAAACATATTTAGGTGATTTATATTGCTTCACTATGATATTAATTGCTTCATAACAAGTATCTCAAAATCAGTGGCTTAAAACAATAACGTTAATTATCTCACAGTCTCTGGAAGTCAGGATTCTAGATGGAACTTAGCTGAGTTCTATGCTTTTAAATTTCTCTGAAAGTTGGGACATTTCATCCAATGCCAAAACATGAGAAAATATTTTTGAGATTTGCCAGGTGAAAACCACTGTAATAAAACCACTAACCATACATGTAATATTTTTTAAATTAAATTATCTCGAACTTTTGCCTTTCATTTTTCTTTTTACTATGGTATAGAGTGAACAATAGCTACTATAGCAGTCAGATGAGCACTCATGCAGCCAGAACAGAAGAAGCAAAACTATAGACTAAATTCTAGTGTTATGAATGTAATTTAATGAAAGTGTCTCGAATATATTGTTGAGAATTTTCAGGAAGACCATCACTGAAATATGGTATTTATATTAACTACCAACATCCCCGATATTAGGAGAAGTGAATCTCATTTCTAGTAATCACTTAAGTCTGGTCTTAATTATACAGAAAAAGCTTTAAAAGATTCCTATTTGATGACTTAGAAATAGCAGTGTTAAAAGTCTTACTTGATTTGTATGTTTAATATTGCTCTCTTTTCCATATAGTTATAATTAATCTATTTCTCTTTTTCTCTTTCTGGCTACTTTTTTGAAATAGACTAAGATGCTTAGTGAAGCAGCTTGAAAAAGGTGATGTCAATGTCGTAGACTTAAAAAAGAATATTGAATATGCAGCATCAGTGTTGGAAGCAGTTTATATCGATGAAACAAGGTAAGTCTTCACCTCCTCTCCCTTTTATCTTACTTGCTTTTCTCCCCCCCCCCCGCAATTGTTCCTCTTTCTTAACCTTCTTTTATCTCAGACAGAAATTTAGCATATCTTAGTATGCTATCACAATCAAAATCGCATTAAAATTTGAAAGGTTCCTTTTTATGTACCTAATTAACTGGACTATGATTCTTTTTAAAAAATATACATTTAAAATCCAAATTCTTGAATATAATAAAACAAACAGTAAAAGTGATAAAATGAAAAGTAATTAAAGTCTCCTTTTCCAGGACCTTCACTGTCTTTAGGCCCAGACTTTTAAATGTCAGTGACATGTGTAGGCTTACATTGATTTTTTTCACTAATGAGAGAATTTTCCCTATTATCTAAAAGCTCAGAGTTGCTACTGAGAAGGAGAGTGTTACCTGCTCAACTATTCTCATGAGATGTGCCTGTCACAGCCTCTAAGGAGGGCTTGCTAAGGGATAGGCCCAAGAGTGTCTGCACCAAAATTCAGCCTCCTCACTACCAGTGTAGAGTGGCCATTAGGAAAACAAGATTTGGAGACGGTTGTTAGCCGCTTTCTGGGACTCCCAGCCAGTCTACTTGTCTTCCAGGGGATACTTGGTAAACCCAAGAGCTCTGACCAAGTGTCTCTTGTTATTTAGAGAGTACTGAGATTGTTTTTTTGATTTTCATCTCAGAAAAGACAAAGGTGACAGGGTAATGAGGACTACCTGTGAATTCAGAGCCCAGAGAGAACCTGTAGAAGAAGGGATGTGGACTTCTCAAGTTGGTTTCAGAACAGGCCCTGAGTTTTTCTGGAGCTATAAGGAAGCTGAAATAGAGGCCTCTCAAAGGACCAAAGAGTACTGACATCAGGTAGTGAAAAGAAAGATGGATATTCGGGTGATTATTGGTATAAGAACCGGGGTAGGAATTGTAAAACTTAAGCCAAAATATAAGATGGCATTTGTGGTCATGGTATCTCCCCCACCAGGTAAGAATGAGAGTCTTTGTCATAGAGCACCACAACCATCAGGCTGGTCAGACCCTTTGGCCTGTTCCACCATGTTGCTGAACAGCCAGAAGCTGCAGAGTAAGCAGGGGACATAGAGAGTGAACCCCTCCTGAGCCCTCTGCAGGAGGGCCTTTACCTTTAAGCACTACATATTTGGATATGCATCTATCATCTTATAATGGCATCATGCCAATTATTATTTGGTTTTCCTATGTGTCCCATCTTTCCTTTGATAGATTCACTCATTTTTCTGTAGTCTTTCCCTGAAAGCATAGCTCCATAGATGCTTTGCTAACTTAGTTCCCAATAATCCCTAACTTGTTTAAACATATGTTATATTTAAAGCATAGTTCTTTGTCATTTGAAAATTTCTCTTTTGTAAGGAAATGGTTATGTATGATATTTAACTACTTTGTTATAGAAATTTAAATTTAGGTTACTTCTTTTATTGTTCTTGCTGCATTTTGGTTTTTGCTCCTTACAACAAAATATCCCAGTTCCCAACAATAGCTTATTCCCAGGTTTTACTCAAAGGACACAAAATTGTTCACTCTTTTACTTTAAAATCTCTATGACATTAGCATTTTTAAATTGGATTAAGAATAATATCCCACATTTATACCATCTTCAAAAGGCTTTTAGTTTTATTATCTCACATTAGTCTCACCGCAGTCCTATGCAGCTGTCAGAGTAAATGTTACCGTCTGCATTTTACTATTAAGAGAACTAAAATTTATTTAAATATCAAAGCAACCCAAGAGATAGAAAAATCTATTTTCAACATTTTGTATATGAAGAAACTGAATCACAGAAAGTTATGTAAATTACCCTGGAGTAAATTAAACAGTGGAATTAGGCTTCTGGCAATTTGATTCCAGAGTTTAAGCTACAAAGCTCACCCTCAACCTTTCTGTAACATTTAATCTGCAGGTGATTTCAGAGACTTCCTGGAAGTTTTGATGGATGTTCATGTGTAGTCAGGGTCCTTAAATTGAGTAGTTGGTAGCCCTGCTGTGGTTCATCCCTTCCTAATTCTGCCTTCAGTAATGATATGTTGGTAGTTGGAAACTAACCATAGTGGGCTATTTACACCATGGGAAATGTCAAGTGCTACAAATCAGGATTTGGTTTTCCCTAGAGAGCCTGTTAACTGTTTACCATCATGTCACTGGTTAGACCCAATATTACCTCTTATGAATTTTCTAAGAGCTATGTTGTTATGGTCAAAATATCATCTTAAGAAATTCTAGAACAGCAATACTTAGTTTGGTTTGGTTTCCTATATATGTATAAATATATATTTAGAAAACAATGAGATATTTGGAAGTTGACTGTATTGATAAAAATGGTCAATGTATAGGAAAATAGAATTAAAGAGGAATTGCTAATTACTTGAAAGTACATGTGTATACACACATATACACACATACCTCTTGTTACTAAGCATTAGTGACTTAATTAGTGATTAGGATCTCAGCTAAAAATTTTTTTTAAACCTCTGTTTAAAGATCATTTTGGTGAGAAAAATAAAAACAGAATTTCTGATTGAAACTAAATTCTGACCGTTGTGGGGATTATAATAAAATTCCCTAGTGAATGTGACCATTTGTTTTTTTAAAAAGAAATTTTTATATGCAAATGCCAATATTTTATGAGTCTTGCTTTCAGATGTGTCTCTAGAGGCTATTATTTTTCAAAGTTGTACAGTTGTAATCCAGAAACATATGGCCTCAAAAGAAAAAAAAATGTTTGTCCTTATTTGGATTGGGACATTGCCAAGCAAAGTAGCATCCTTGGCCTCATGCATAGCCGGGCAGGAAGCTGACTGGGAGGTATACTTTCAGACTTGGATATTGTGCTAACATCTCATAAAAACATAACTTATGATTTTATTTTGGTTAATGCCAGCCAGAGTGTAGACACTGGACTCAGAAAGAGTGGGTTGTTTGAAGTCTGGGTCCTCTACTCAATACCCTCTTTAAGAAATTACTTAACATCTATAAGATCTAGATTTAGTGATAAAGTAGGAATAAGGACAATGCTCATTTTATGAAAAGGTAGCGTAAAGATTAAATGTAGTATAATACCTATCAGGATAAGGGTTGGAAAATAATCATTATTCTGTTGTACTAGTAGAAAGCAAATATACTTTGCACTTTGGAAATGCATAACACATCAAGATATATACGTTATCTACTAGTGAAATTACCTAATAATTTCATGATGGCAATTTTTTATCTCAAGAAAATTAATTCAACTGGGCTCCAGTTACCAGGGAATGGATGCAAAGCATAAAACAATGGAAAGGAACTTTAATATAGAACTACACATCCCTATAAAGGCATCTTCAATGGACTAGAAGGCCTTATTAAGTTGCAAGATCCTTAATTTGGTGATAGATTATCTTGAGAAAGTATTGATGTCAGTCAGTATTTCCAAAAAGTCTGGTAGCAGGATGATCAAGGCTCCTGATAGGCTAAAAACCTTGAAATAACTGAGAGGGATTTATTCATTTATCAAGTATTTATTAAATTCCTGAAGTCCCTGTCATGCATATTTGTCACTGGATTCAGGAACACAGCTGTGCAGATAACTGGGAGACAGAGGGTCAAGATCATGAAGACAAACCCAGGCATCAGAATCAATGCTGAAGCAGACAGGCTAAAGAGATAATCAACAACACTGATAAGTTATAACAGAAAACACAGAGTAGCAACAATAAATCATAACCAGAAGGAATAACACGGGGTCAAAATTTATAGTCAGGAACCCAATCAGATATGACTAGATTTGCAGTTATTTCTTTCTGTGAATGAATTTGTTCTCTGGCACAGTGCTCCCTGCTCATGTTAATGGGGCAGATTCTAATAAGAGGGTTAAGGGCAAAAGTGTGGAACATGCAAGACAGATTGGCACTGAAGCCATAAATACAATGCCAGTTAGAGATGTGATTTTAGGGATTATAACCCGAGAGCCCTAGGGTTTGTTGTTTTAGTTTTCTAATTTATTTACTGTGATGTTAATCTTCAATAGTTGGATTTCCTTTGCTATTTGGAGTTTCCCATCCTAAAAATTTTGAGAATGTCCAATGAATGTTGACTTATTTCCCTATCTGTCCTGTCACTTTGCAGCCAGCCCTTGCTGCAAACTGCTAAATTGTTCCTGTGCAGAGCACTTATTTTCCCCTTAATTCCAGCTATCTATGCTGAGGCGCCTAAGCATGAGCAGAATCCCTTCCTCCAGAGTCCTCAAAGATAGATGTTTTCAGAACCTTCACCGAAGCCCTTTCAGAGAGGTTCCCTACTGAGCACCCTTCTTCATCCTCTCAGGCCTGGTGTCCATCTCAAAGAAACCAGTTTACTTTGCCCCATGGAAGGCCCTTCACCGTGGTTTGCTATCCGGAGTTCAGGATCTCAAGTTTCAAAGCCCTGATAAAGGGGCAATCAAAATTAATGTCATGCTAGACATTCACCTCTCAAGATCAACACCAATTTTGAAAAAAATGTGCAATTTAAATCCATATTTAGAAAAAAAGCCAGTTCTCTAAAAGACACAGAATCTGCTGTGACACAGCTGTACCCATATTGAAGACAACGTGTACTTTACTATTTAGACAAGGTTAGCCTCCAGGAATCTCATTGTCTCAGTTTTCTAAACACCAGAGTAGCGATTTCACTTTATTTTAGTGCTAACTGAAACATTTATTCGAAAGATTTTTCATAGAATAAAAGAGTACTCTGCACAGAAGGTAGAATAAAGCTTCTGCAGAACCAGATGATTTTTTGACTTTCCAAATATCAGTATTTCTTACCTTCAACTATTAAGATTTAAAAAAAAAATCTCTTAATGTTCTATGTCACAATAGGTGACCATGTTACATTACTAGTTGAAGTCAAGGGTAAGGATGAAAATGCCAAACGGCAATCTGGGGTGGGATGGTCGTTCCAGACAGCTAGGGGGTTAAAGAGTATACAAGGTTAGA